GATGTATTATTTCTAATATTTAATGATTAAATTATCATTTATAATTGTGAACTGTTTCTCAAAATAGAAATGTGAATCTTTATATGAGACGTACAAAGAGGAAATGAGAACATTTCTACGAGACAGAAAGAGTTATATTTTTGAAAAACCCTCTAATAAAAATGATAAGAGTGAGGATCTTGATAATGATAACAATAAAATAGAATAATAATGTATAACAATAATAACAATAATTAAAACAATCTTAATTTTAATATCATCATATCGATAATAATAATACATAGTAGTTGTTAGCGTATTAATGTCAAGCTATTATACTATGAGCCCGTTTGGAGAACTCTGTTTTCGGCTTATCAGGCTTATCAGCCAGCTTTTTCACCAAACACGTAACTTTTACTTTCGCGCGCTGAATTGTGTAATAAGCCAAAAAAGTAAGGTTGGAGTTACTTTTCTGGCTGTATTGGCTGAAGTTACTGTAGAGGACCATTTTAGCTATTTTTACATATACTTTTTTCTTTAATTTATTAATAAAATATATTTTTAAAATTTTTTTTTCTTAAATCAGCAGAATCAGCCAAAACAGCCACTCCAGCCAGAATATCATAAATTTCAGCAGAATCAGCCAAAACAGCCGATTTTGGTGCTACCAAACGGGCTCTAAATTACTAACACGGAGTAATCTCTAAAGTTTCACACTTTCAAATTTTAAAAGAGCACATTCAAGTTGTGGGTGAGATGGAACTGCACCTAACAAATACGGAGTACTTTATGCAATTTGTTTTTCCCACACCGATTACAAAACATTTTTCAGCCTTCCAAGCGCGTTATAAATTCGTCCCTCGCCAACGCATTGCCAAATCTGCGGCAAGCCACCTGGTTGAAAGCTTGTTGACCGGCTTATCTGGTCCAGGACCAGTAGTTTTAATTGCTATGGGCTTCCCTAAAATTTTGGCCGCCTTTTGTCACGCCTATGGGCCGTGCGAGGCTTTGGGCTGACGCCTTGGGCCTAGGCCCGCCTATGCGAAGCCTTTTAAGACCTTTTAGAACACTGATCGTAACTATAAAAATAATAATAATAATAATAATAATAATAATAATAATTAAAATTAAATTTAAAATGAAAAAATTTATACTTATTACACTAATTATAAATATTGATATAATTATAATTGTAATTATATTTTTAATTATAATTACTTATATAATTATAATTGTAATTATAATTACAATATTTATCTCTATAATTGTAACTATAGTTATCAATATTATTATAATTACTCCGTAAAATAATTACAATAGTAATAATAATAATAATAATATTAATATTAATAATTATAATCATAAATTATAATTATAAGTATAATTATAATTATTATAATTATAATTAATAATAATTATAATTATATTAATAGTAATTATAATATTATAATATAATAATAGTAATATAAATACAATTAATATTATAATAATGATATTATTATATTCATATTATTATTACAATAATATAATAATAATAATATGATTATTATTATTATTATTATTATATTATTACAATATTATATTATAATTATAATTATAATTATAATTATGATTGTAATTATAATTATAATTATAATTAATTACAATTATAATTATAAATATTTATAGATATAATTATAATAAATACAATTGATTATACTTATAATTATAAGAATTATAATTGTAATTATAATTATAATTACATATAATTATAATATAATATTATATTAACATTAATCATATTATTATTATTATATTGTAATAATAATAATAATAATAATAATAATAATAATAATAATAATAATAATAATAATAATAATAATAATAATAATAATAATAATAATAATAATAATAATAATAATAATGATAATGATAATGATAATGATAATGATAATGATAATGATAATGATAATGATAATGATAATGATAATGATAATGATAATGATAATGATAATGATAATGATAATGATAATGATAATGATAATGATAATGATAATGATAATGATAATGATAATGATAATGATAATGATAATGATAATGATAATGATAATGATAATGATAATGATAATGGTGATGATGATGATGATGATGATGATGATGATGATAATAATAATAATAGTCTTGTTAATAATTACATTTATATTACTATTATTATATTAAAATATTATAACTATTATTAATATCTTATTTTTTTTATCATATTATTATTAATATTACTAGTAATAATTATATAATAATAATAATCATAATTGTAATAACAATATTAATAATAATAATTAATATAATAATAAAAGTGATAAATCATGTTTGAACTTTTCTGATCTGATCTGATATGAATGTTTCTGATCTGATCTGAATGTTTCTGATCTGTTCTTATCTGATCTGAATCTTTCTGATCTGATCTGATCTGAATCTTTCTGATCTGATCTGATCTGATCTGATCTGATCTGAATTTTTCTGATCTGATCTGATCTGAATTTTTCTGATCTGATCTGATCTGAATAAAATAAGAATAAGCAATAAGTAATAAGAATAAGACGAACAGAACAACACCTAAATTGGGTAAAACAATACGTACTATTAAATAGTGTCAAAAAGAGTGTACTTTTATATTAAATTTTACATTTACATTTCAATGAATTTATATCTTTAATAGGTGTGAAATCAAATTAGGACTTTAATTAAAGGAATGTGGTTGTATATGCATATATAGGGGAGTGTTCTCCTAATGTAGGCCTAAAACTTACTCCATCCGTCCCGCTAAGATTGTCTCATTTTATCTTTTCAAGAAGTCACACTAAGATTGTCTCATACCAAATTTGGTAAAGTTTGTGTGACTCTAAATCATTCTTACTTTATTTTTACCTTTTCAATTCAATATCAACCACATAAACTCACTTTTATTAATAATCGTGTCACCTTCTTCCGTCCCAATGTTAGTGGAACGGAAGTAGTATAAGTTCTAGGCATCTTTCATGTTAGTGGGATAAAAAAATTTGATGAAATTTTATGATCATGTTCTCCATGAAGTGTATATTATGCCCACCAAATTTGAGATTAAAACTATTAATCTCATGTTTTATTTAGTTAAATAAATTATTGAAAAAATCCGCAAGTTTTATATATAAAAAACTGCACAATTTTTAGAAAATTATTTATCTGACTTCCCGATTGAATTTTAATTTGAAACTTAGTGGACATAATATAGAAGAACATGCTTACAAAATTTTATAAAATATTCATCCCGGAAGGAAAGAGATTCAAAATTGTAACTTTAAGACCTAAATATTTTCCTACATATATCCATGTGCACTTTTTTCAGTTTTCATCATCCATCGATCATTTTCAGCAGGCCGGCCAGGCTAGGGTACATACGTTACTTCATTTACTCATTTACTCATCCACGACATTGTGCTCGTGCCATGTCGTACCCATAAATTTTAATCTGAAATTTGGTAGACATAATATATATTAATGGAGAACATACTCACAAAATTTTATCAAAAAATTCACCCCGGAAACAGCTCAACTGAAAGAGGCCCAAAATTGTAACTTTTAGTTTATTTACATGAATATTTTCCTCCATATACATATACACCTTGTAGTAGTAGTACGTATACGATGTCCCCTATTTTTTCAGTTTTCATCATCGATCGATCATGCTGAAAATATTTTCACCATTGAAAATATTGGAATAAGGAGACATCCCTTATTCTTAGGGAATGGGTCCTTGTCAAATCCCTCATTAAACTTTCGTTATTTCCAATGGCTATGACGACCCAATTCCCTTATTAATGGTATTACAGATTAATAAGGCATAGACTACCGTCATTCGATTCATACGTGGATGAGTGAGAACACTTGCCTTGTATAAGGAATTAATAAGGGCCGATCGGTTATTCATTTTATTATTAACAAAATAATCTTTTGCCCTGCAAAACAATTGAATTTTGAATTGTATAATTTTATTTAAATTGTACTATTGTGAAAATACAAAATACGAGTATATATGAGGCTTTTTGGGGGGATTATACGTACAACTGTACGATGCTTTGAATAATTCAAAACAAAATGACATTAAAATTTAATTATATATAATCTAGCGACTAAATAGGATACAATAAACGTCATAAACAAAATTCAATACAGTTTCACTAAACAGAACCAAGTTCCACTAAACAGAACCAAGTTCATTGATTATGATAAAATACAAATACAATACATACAGGTAATATATCATTCAAAGAATCATCTTTATTACATTTAGATCGATAACTAATTTTGAGCTAAATTGTTGGAAAGGACCCTCCTCCCAAAGCGGAGATTGCCAGCGTTGATAGCATTTCTTAGCATCCTTCCAAATCTTGACATCAAATATATGGAGAGTTTGAAATAGAACTCTTGCACCTGCTGAAAATATTACAAAAATTTAAGAACTCATAAAGGATTATCATTCAAATACACTACGAAAACTGTCTTTAGTATGAATTGATAAAAATCTGAAAAGACAATATAGATTTTATTTTGATAAGAACCCCAATACATACGATACATATACTCGTACAATATTAGGATAAACAAACAACAAATTAAAGAAACATCTTACCCGGAGTTACATCGAGGAATACGAACACATCTGGTTAGACTGAGCCGGCGGCTTGTTATTCGACTAAATGTAACAATCGGAGGACACTCAAAGTCTGGCGACTAAATCTGGCGACTAAATCTGGCGACTAAATCTGGCGACTAAATGTGGAAACACTCAAAGTCGTGTATCAAAAATGTCAATGACATAATAATCGGAGGACAAAAAATGGAAAAATTTAAAGTCGAGTATCAAAAGTGTCAATGACATAATAGTCGGGGGACTAAAATGACAAAAACTCATTTTTTATTAAAGTTTGTTTAATCTAGTCTAGTTTATGATTACAATAAGTCAAATTAAACATACCTACATTATAACAAATGTAATTAAGTTCACTCTTACAATAAGGGATGAATGAGGGATTGGTATTAAAGGGTGTTATCACTGAAAATCCCTTATAGTGGCCGTCATTATTTTTGCTTCATTCACGTAGTGAGGCCAGGGTACGTACGTACATACGTTACTTCATTTAGAAGAATCGACCATATCGCCGTGCTCGCGCCATGTCGTTCCCACTTCTTCTTCTTCTTCTTCTCGGATTGATCTCTCTAATTTTGCTATCATCACCAGGGAGTGATTTTGTTATGGAAGCGGAATGCCACATCGGCATAAACTATGGGCAGGTGGGTAACAATTTGCCGGCGCCGGAGAAGGTGCTGCAACTGCTGCAGTCCCTGAAGGTGGAGAGGGCCAGAATCTACGACACCAACCCTCGCATCCTCGCCGCTTTCGCCCACTCCGACGTCCAGCTCATCGTCACCCTCGAGAACGAGATGCTCCCCCTCCTCGGCGCCGCCGATCCCCAGCCCGCCCTCCAGTGGGTCGCCTCCCGCATCCTCCCCTACATCCCCGCCACCAACATCACCGGCATCGCCGTCGGCAACGAGGTCCTCACGTACGGCGGCGCCGCCCTCCCCTACCTCGTCCCCGCCATGCTCAACATCCGCGCAGCCCTCGCGCTGCACGGCGGCCTCCACCGCACCATCCACGTCTCCTCCCCCTGCTCCGCCGCCGTCCTCGCCAGCTCCTTCCCGCCCTCCGCCGGCAGCTTCCTGCCGGAGCTCTGCGGCGTCATGCTGCAGTTCCTGCAGTTTCTGGCGGAGACCAGCTCCCCCTTCTGGATCAACGCCTACCCCTACTTCGCGTACAGCCGCGTGATCTCGCTGGACTACATCCTGTTCAACCCCAACGGCGGCACCGTTGACCCGCTCACCGGGCTGCACTACGACAACATGCTGTACGCCCAGGTGGACGCCGTGTCCTTCGCGATCTACCGGATGGGGTTCGGCGGCGTGGAGGTGAGGGTGTCGGAGACGGGGTGGCCGTCCAAGGGCGGGCCCGAGGAGAGCGGGGCGACGCCGGAGAACGCGGCCATCTACAACCAGAACCTGATGAGGCGGCAGGCGGCGGATGAAGGGACGCCGCTGAGGCCGAACGTGAGATTGGAGGTGTACGTGTTCGCGCTGTTCAATGAGGATATGAAGCCGGGGCCCGCCTCCGAGAGGAACTATGGTCTCTTCCGCCCCGACGGCACTATGGCTTACAACGTCGTTGGCATTGGTCCGACCACGTCACAACCCAATGATTACCCTCCCTCCACCTCCACACCCACTCCACCAAACACTACATTTTCCTCTGCAACTCATCAGGTACGTACGTCCGCCCATACCTTATGAGGAAAAAGGTTTAATATAACAAATTTTGAAAAGTTACATTAATTAAAATACCTCAGACTTACCTATGTAATTTAGATATCCTAAACTTGACAACTTTTCATGTCCAGCCGGCCTGACGGGAACCGCCGTCCGGCCGAGGGCATTTCGGGCACTTCCCGGTGGAATTTTTTGATGAAATTTTTTGAGCATGTTCTTTATGAAGTCTAGTTTATCCATATCAAATTTCAGCTAAAAATTCAATCGGGAAGACACTCAAATAATTTCTTGAAGTTAACTGGGCAGTTCATACATATAAACTGCCCAGTTAACTTCACAAAATTATTTGAATGCCTTCCCGATCGAATTTTGAGCTGAAATTTGGTATGGATAAACTAGACTTCATGAAGAACATGCTCAAAAAATTTCATCAAAAAATTCCATCGGGAAGTGCCCGAAATGTCCTCGGCCGGACGGCGGTTCCCGTCAGGCCGGCTGGACAAGAAGACTACTCTCCTAAACTTTATATAATACTCGTAACTTATGTTAGCATCGATCATGATCTTGTATTATTTTTTCAAAAATGTTAATAATTGGAGTTAATGTCATAATTTAAAACATTTTAGCATTCATGCAGATACAATTAGCATTCTAAACTTTCATTTTAAAATATAAAGAATTACCCCCCAAACTCTATAAAATTGCTATGTTTTCAATTTGCTATTTTGGATTATGCAATTAACATCACAAATTTCTGAAATAATACATGACCATGGTATTAAAATAATTTTTGTATAAAATTTGGGGTATTTAAATTACATATGACAGTTTGGGGTGTTTATCTCACACCCCTTCAAAGTTTGGGGTTTTTTAATTTTTTTTCCCAAAATCTAACAATATTTTTTCAAATATATATTAATACATTAATAAATAAAAAATAATCATAATAGAAAATGTACATAGTTTAAAATTTAACATGTTATATTTATTTAAGGGTGAATGTAGTATATACATATAGGGTGCAATATAGGGTGCAGTACGTACGAAGACTAAAATAATGTTGAACTGCGTAAAAGAGAGAGAAAGTTGAGATGTACTCTTTCGTTTTTAAAATTCTTCACGCTTACAATTTTGAGATGTTTTAAAAAGTCTTTTCATTCTCTTTTTGGAAAGTATAGTGTGTCTAACGTTCATTTACATTTCCCTTACTCAACTAGAATCGTATATTTCCATTTTATTCTTCCCTTTTAAACTCTTTTTATCTTGGTATAATGGTATTGTAATTAACACGTCCAAATTATTTGGGTCGTGACCAATACTAGCCACCTTTTTGTAAAAGGTCCGGCAAAGTTAAAAAGCCGTGTACAAAAAAAAGTTAGTTTGGCATGACGGAAACCTGCCATTCATTCAAAGGAAAAAGCAACCAACCATTTTGGTGCAGTTAGGGCCCCCCGGTCGTCGACATAATTTTATACCGAGTATGTACGTATTCGGTAATTAGATAGGCCGGGTTAATGGTGTAGTGTCTTTCACTGGAGTAGTAGATTTTACAGCAGCAAGCGGAAACATGGAGGGGTCCCAGCAAGTCTTTCTTGGTGCGAATTAAAAATGTTCTACATTTGAACTTAAGATAGATTCTATGGGATGGGTATGCCAAATCAAGAATGGGAATCCTAGTCGAGCTATTGGTATATTTTTTCCAAAATCTTTCAAAAGAAACTCCACTCTTTGGAAATATGTTTTTTGAAGTTTTGATGGGAATTGAAATCTAATCATAACATCATATCCATCTTGTCGAGTACAGAAAAAATTGATATTTTCTAACGACCAATCAGACATCGAAATTAAAGTCACGACACGTGCCAAAGAGTGTGATTACTCTCAGCCATGCGCACCACGTGTCAACTACACATAGAAGGTGACCACATTATTGATGGTGTCAGCAGCCCAATGCCACATCACTGACACGTTAACAACATGCAGGAAACTCTGCCTAGTCAACTCTCATGTCATTCACCTACTGTGCTCCTACTCTGCTCCTGCTCTACTCCGCCTAGTCAACTCCACCTACACGTAGAAAGTATAAAGTTTGGTACACTCTGATGTCGTTCAATTCCATGAATGTTGAATCACTCAAGGGAAGAGGATACTTCCCGATTTTTATTAATGATGCATCTCACAAATTATGAAGAAGCTATGTCTCAAAAGTATAAAATAAAATGGCTCATAGCAATGCAAGATGAGTTGAAATCTGTGCATAAAAACAAAAATTATGAGATCATATAACTTTGGGATGGAGACACTAAGAAATAAATGGTTGTTTAAGTTAAAGGATGATGCATGGGGGCAACTGGAACACAAAGCTCGGTTGATGTTCAAAGGGTTTTAGTGACGATCCACTTTGTCGTGATGTGCGTCAAAATAATAAACACAATACAACACTAATACGTAGTATAACGTAGTAAGGTTCGTATTCACAGGGAAATGAATACTTCTCTTTTTATGTAACTAGTAAAAAGGGTGGTTTTAAAGTTTGATTTGATTTAATTAATTTAACACTAAGATGAATGACTTATATGAGTTTAATTAATAAGATATGAAGGCTTGGTTTTGCTTTTATCCACTTAATGAAATGTTCGTCGATCCCAGTTATATCTTTAACTATCTTCTTCTCGAATACTCAATCGAGGAGTATATCCAATTCATCGAGGGTAGTTATTAATAAAGAGACACGTTCATTAATAAAACTTACTACCGAGTCAATACAGAACATGCGCTATATTAACCCGATAGTAGCAATAAACTTAATGAAAACGATTGAGATTGATAACCTCAACACAAGCGGTTTATTGGTTTATTAATCAATATAATTAATTTCCCTTAGATTATTAACCATCAGACGCATGCATTAATAATCCAAGTTTACTACTGTGAAAAGACCGAATGATTAACAAGTGTATTCGTCGAACGATTCTAGTAATAATTAATATATGAAACAAAACTAATTGATCCTTTAAGTAATGCTCAAAATATTAATATGAAATATGAATAGGAATTAATTAATATTCAAGGAAGAAGATTGAAGAAAATAAATGCTACTATAACTAATGTCGAGGTGTTAACTAATTGTCATCTTAGCAACACTCCCCAACATTAATATAGAGATAGATTAAAGGAAATAAATGCTACTATAATTAATCTCGAGATGTTAACTAATTGTCATCTTAGCAACACTTCCCAACATTAATATAGAGATAGATTAAAGGAAGAATTGATATTCAAGGAAGAAGATTAAAGAAAATAACTCACAACTTACAATTCATTAATATTCAAAGTAGCAAAACCAAGATGAAAGAGTTTAGCTCCTCATTTGGAGACTAAATATGATGAAAATATAAAGAAAGAACTTATCTAGACTGAGCTTAGAAGTATATGTGAATTGGTGATCTTAATGTGAAGGAAAAGGGGTGTATTTATAGCAAAATGGAGGTGGCAGGGTGCTGTACTCGATCCAGTATATGGGATACTCGACCGAGTACAAGAGGTAGTTTCCAGGAAATTGTGAAAAATAGGCATACTCGACCGAGTATTACCAATACTGGATCGAGTATGAGACAAGATTTTCATCAAATATTCAACCACATTCTTTTGCTCCCAGATTTGATTTTGACCAACATATCCGGTCAATACTCGACCGAGTATTGAACGAATTTCAAAATCTTCATTTGATCTTCTCCTTTTTGCACATTCTTTGGTCTTTAGGATCCATCCTTTGATTCTTGGGATGATTTTGACCCGTCCTAAGCTCAGAATAATCATAATCTAAATAAATTACAAATAATTAATGAAAATAAAATATTACACCAAAAGTGTGTAATTTCCACAATTAGAACAAATAAAACTAGTAAAAAATACACACATACATAATAGGAAATTCACACCATCATTTAACAAAAGAAAGGAATTGACTTTGAGGATGTATTTCCACCGGTTGTGAAGATGGTCTTAATTTGAGTTATACTTGTATTACCATGAAGTACGAACTTGGAGTTGAACAGATGGACTTGAAGACAACATTTCTTCATGAAGATATGAAGGAAGAAATATATATACAACAGCGAGAAGGTTTTGAGATTTTAAGTGATAACTTCGTGTGCAAGCTATCTAAAAGCTTGTATGGTCTAAAGTAGGCTAAAGGCAGTTGAATAAAAGTTTGACTCATGCATGAAGAGTATTGCGGATGAGTGTGTTTAATTTACATCAAGAGACTTCCAAATGGTACATTCATTTCTCTTCTACTATATGTAGGCAACATGTTGATGTTGGAAAAAAATGCAATGAAGATAAACTAACTAAAGAAAGAACTCTCTAAGTCTTTTGTTATGAAAGACTTAGGACCAACTCAATTGATTCTTAGGATGCAGATCATTCGAGACACAAAGAACCACAAGTTATGTCTATTTCAGGAGAAGTATATTGAACGTGTATTTGATAGATTCAACATGAATGATGCCAAACCAGTTAGTATTTCACTTGAGAATAACTTCAAGATGAGAAAAAGAATATGGTTCACATCTAAGGATGAGATCATGATCGAAGATGTTAGGGGTGCCCTATTTTTTAGCAGTTGGAAGTTTGATGTATCCATGGTCTGCACATGGCCAATTAATTGGGAGACTATCAAATGGATTCTCAAGTACTTGAAGGGCACCGAGAAGTTATGTCTTTGCTACAGAGGAGCTGATCCAATCTTGAAAGGCATTATATATGTTGATATGGCTGAATATATTGATTGTAGAAACTATACTTCAAGATATCACTGCACTATTACAAGAAGCGCTATTCTCGACAATCAAGATTGCAAAAGTAAATATGTCACTTTATCTACAACAAAAGTAGAATACATTACTGCCACTGAAGCTGGTTAGGAAATGTTGTGGCTACAACGTTGTCACCAATAACTTAGAGTGTAGCCAAAGGAGTAGTGTAATGTACATTCTGACACTGAGAGTGCTCTAGACGTGAGCAAGAACTCCATGTATCATTCACGTACAAAACACATTGATTTTTGATATCATTGGATATGCGAGATGATTAATCAACAACTCATCTTATAAAGAAACTTCGTCACACATAGGAGTCACCTTTTCTCACTGAAACTTTTTCCAAGTTTCATCACACATTTCTCTTGGTTTCGACCCTCATATTTTTGGTCCTATAAATAGATAGGTTTGTAATGATTCTCCCTGATGAGATATTAGATCATTTATCTTCCTAATACAACAAGAAGAGTTGTATAATATCCTTGAAAGATTTGTGAAATGTTTTTTTTAGAGTTTTTAGGTAGCACTTGTGGTCGTATCATATCCATTTGTGTTTTGTAATAAATTCTTCTAGTAAACGGTGCTTTAATTCCCCAACACGTGCATATTTAATATGATATCCAAAGTTGTGTTATGCTACTGATTTGCAATAATTTAATTTGAACATATATACAGGTGAAGCGATTAGAGTATCAAAGCTTGTGTTGTTGGATGTTTGTATACGTGGTAACCAGCTGGCCGGGTTATATGTTGCTATCACTACTAGTTTAAGCTATATATGATCGAGCCAATATGTTATGTACTATATGTATGTTTGGGCTTGCAGTCCAGTCCAGTCCAGTCCAGCTCGGCACGAATATTTGCTATCAGGCAGGCCAAACATATTCTATAATTAATCTCACAATACATAATATACATATATAATGGTGTATATATATCATTTGTTCAAGTTCAATATCATAGCAAATCAAAAAATGAATCGGACGGATCGTGATTATGTAGCAAGCTAAGTTATTAAATGTATTAACTATCTGATTGTATATTAGGAATTTTATGTAAACGTATACTAGCTATGGTGTTTTGTTATAAATTCATTGTTGTTATATAATATGTAATGAGAAACTAGTGTGAGAAGATTATTTAACTTATAAAAGTGTGAAAGAGAAAAAATGTAACATATAAACTATCAAAAATGAGAAAGAACCAAATAGAAAATCATAAAAATGATAAGAAAATACTAAAGATGAAGAGAGGGTCTTCTTTAACTTGATGTGTAGATATATACGAAAGGAATAATCTATTTTTAATAAAATTTGATTATACTTTGAAAGAGTATTGAAAACCATAGTAAATAAAATTGACGAATCTATCTATATACAAAGCAAGGTGGAAACCAAGCTGAAATTCCCGCTCAAAAATGTCACTATCAAGTATAAAAATTCGTCCAAAAATCTAAGCCACAAACCGTGGTATCATGTACTCCGTATGTAATACGATCATACGATCTGTGATGCCTGAATAGTCAATTACTTTTGCTGAGAAGTGAATGTCACTCTCAATAGTAAAACACTTGGCCGCATAAAGTAAAAAGTATCCACCATGATGTTGTGAAGTGAAGGAAACTCCCACTTTTTTCGTTGGTAAATTTCAATTGGTTCAATGGCCTTGGGTGGAATGAAGCATTAAATGTGAAAGGACAGAGCATTGAATTTGAAATTAACGTGTATAATTCAAATACAAGCCTACAACATGTGAAGATATGCTAGCGATCATAACCAATGGGCAAAAGCAAGTTTACACGGTAATGGTTATACATCAATTGTCTTTAAGTAGATTTAAGCATTAAAAATGATGAGATTTTGATATTTAAAATGTTGATTCGAAAGTACGATTTGAGTATGTCGATTATCTGTTGTACAATTCATATGCAAGCTAAGAGATTAATTCCAACAATAAAAAGGACTGCTTAATGCTCTTACGTTCAACATCCACTCCGGAAAGTGCTGCATGAAACGGTTTGTCACGCCCCGGACCGCGTCCGTGCCACGTAGACAACCGCCGTACAACCCAATAAGAACAACATAGTTCATCCTTATTAAATCATACAAGGCGTCCGTTAAGTTCTATTGCCAAGCCGATTAGTAAACCCATACAATCAACATCAATATATAAATCAAACAAATGCGGAAATAAAATATGTTTAACATTTAGCCACACGTGGCAAACATGAGCACGCAGGCCCTTCAATAGTTTAATAAAAACATCGTTCAAATATCCATGAGCAATTTCATAATTTCAAATAAGAATGGAAGCACGAACCACGTCTTCCTTATTTGAATTCACCCTGGGCAAAGGTGCAGGTAGCAGGACTCTAGCCTCAACCTGAAAAATGTGAGGGCCCCCGAAGGGGTCAGTACTCCATAGAAGTACTAGTGACAAGCAGGCTATATGAGGAATAACTAATGTCTCAGACACGAGACCCAAAAATAGGATGATACATATATTTATAGGTGTAACCATTGTCACCCCATTCCCAAGATAATACATAGTGTATATACTTGTAAAATACTTGACCCGTAGGTCATTTTCTCACAAAAGAGTCTTTTAGAGACAAGGTACTCACTCAACCTTTCCCCTTTCATTCCTGAATGCCTAGCTTAAGAGCTACATTCTACCTTCATAATATCCTACCGAGTTTCAGGAGTGTTAACCCTCCCGGGGATACTCAACCCCAACCGAGTTTTGGGATCATTTACCGTCCCGAGGATGCTCAACCTCAACCGAGTTTTAGGATCATTTACCGTCCCGAGGATACTCAACCTCAACCGAGTTTTAGGATTGTTTACCGTCCTGAGGATGCTCAACCTCACCGAGTTTTAGGATTGTTTACCATCCTGAGGATACTCAACCTCACCGAGTTTTAGGATCATTTACCGTCCCGAGGATACTCAACCTCAACCGAGTTTTAGGATCATTTACCGTCCCGAGGATACTCAACCTCAACCGAGTTTTAGGATCATTTACCGTCCCGAGGATACTCAACCTCAACCTTATTTCTAACCAAACCCTAACCTGGATATGGCTAACCTTTCGTTTACTCAACTATGGACAATACCTGGTCCTATAGTCATATAACAATCCTTAGTAACCAACGTGGACGGGTCCCGCCTGATCGGTCCACGTTAACCCACTCAAAAACTACCCGTTTTGAGTATAACTCAATACTCGATCGAGTACCCACCAATACTCGGTCGAGTACAGGAGACAGGAGCCCGTAAGGCTAATTTCCAAGGCATACTCGATCGAGTACCTATCCATACTCGATCGAGTATAGGAGGCAGCAGCCCTTGGAGCCAATTTTTCAGCAGATACCCGGTCGGGTATTGTAGTTGACTTGGCGGTCAACGCCCGTTTGACCACCCAAACGGAGTCCGATTAACGTGAAATTTTACATGCATATTCTACTTGAAGTCCTTGATCCAAAAATACCATTTTTGACTCCTGGATCATTGTACATAATAAGTTATCACATTTTTAATCACCAAACATACAAAACATGCTTTTCAACTTTGGTTTATATATAATCATGGCATAAGCCAATACTTGATTAACTTTAATCATTCCGTAAAACATATACTTGATTACTTTAGGTAATCTCATGCCTCAATCAAAAGTTATAAAGCATATAGCCGTCTTCTCACCTTAAAAGAAGCTTATGAAGTTCTAGCCTTTCTTATTGAGCTCCGGTGAAACTCCGGTGAACTTCAACGAACTCCGACGACACTCCGGCGACCCTTTCAACTCCGTGAAAGTCCTTGAAGTACCTTATACAAGTTAACAACAAGGTTTTATCATCATAAAACCCATATCAACACAAATAACCTCTAAAAGGTTATTTTCCGACGAACCGGTCAACTTTGTTCTCTAAATCCGTTTTGGATATGAACCAACCTTCCAACCCTTCATTCTTCCCATATAACATGTAGAATGGTCCTAGGGGTGTGAAATATGATCATATAATCATATTGGAAGGTTAATGAAGAGGGATGAGATTAATGGAGTTATTACCTTGTAAATCCTCAAGTTTTCCTCCTTCTTTCTCTTTTCTTTCCCCTCCTTCTTCTCCTTAAGCTTTGGTTCGAATATGGTGGATGAAAATGGAGATTTTGATGAGCTTCTCTCACTTGGTTGATGCTGGATACGAATGGGATTAGTTGGTGTGATTGAGAATGCCATTTTGGCATCTCTCACAATAATACTATGGCAAGGGTCCCACCTTCCAATTGATTGAGCTCTCAATCAATTTTCCTCCTTGTTTCTCCATGTCCTTGTGCGGCTCCCATGGAAATTTGCAAGACTAAAACGTGGGGATGGCCCCCACTTAGATGGGTGGTCATCCCTTTGTGTCCCCGAGTGTACACTCGGTCCCGAAAGTTGTATTTTCCGGACTGTTTTAACTATGTTTCATTTTATCGGGTAAAATGAAATATCTATCATTCTTCCAATTATTATTGGATGTAAGAATGAGTGTACATCCCCCAACTTTTAATTTAGCGGTCTCCATAATTTATTATGGCTTTTATCTGTCAGTACACCGGTACCGATAAATGGGCTTTATTTGCCAAAAAGGTTACTCACATAACTTCTATGGCCCAACAAGGATGTCCACCATTATACACATATTATCTTGACCCAAATGAATATAATATGTGGTCCCGATAAAATCGGGCGGCCCCCACTTCCTGTGTGGGCCCCACGTGAATTTTACTATTCACGCAAAAGAAATGATAAAGATTCACGATCACGTAAAATGCGTTTATTCATTTCCTGGGTTCAATACATAATTTGATAAAGTACAAATATTTGGGGGCGGTGTTACAAGTTCTACCCCCCTTATTTGGGATTTCGTCCCCGAAATCCACGTGTCTAGTCGAACAGAAATGGATACTGCTCCCTCATCAGGGTCTCCATTTCCCAAGTCTGCTCCTCGACACGATCACTCTTCCAAAGTACCTTCACCATCGGTACCTCTTTACTCCTTAGCTTCTTTACCTGTCGGTCCATGATCTTTACCGGCTGCACCGCATAGTGAAGGTCTTCCCGGATTTCTACCGGTGGTCTCTCAAGAATATGTGACGGGTCCCGTACATACTTCTTGAGCATAGAAACATGAAATACATTATGAATCTTTTCTAATTCTGGAGTTAACTGAAGCCGGTATGCTACAACCCCGATCCTTTCAATGATTTTGAATGGGCCTATGTAGCGTGGGTTAAGCTTACCCCGACTGAGGAACCTGATGATCCCTTTCCAAGGTGACACCCTCAGAAATACCTCATCGCCGACCTCGAACTCTAACGTCCTCCGACGTTTATCTGCATAACTCTTCTGCCGATCTTGGGCAGCCTTGAGCCTATCCTGGATAACCCTCACCTTCTCCTTGGTGATTTCGACTAGCTCGATGCCCTCAAGCTTAGCCTCGCCTACCTCATCCCAACACAAAGGTGTCCGACATTTCCTCCCATACAATGCCTCGTATGGAGGCATGCCTATACTTGCTTGATAACTGTTGTTATAAGCAAACTCCACCAAGGCCAACTGGTTGTCCCAACTTCCTTGGAACTCCAAGGCACATGCCCTCAACATGTCCTCCAAAATCTGAATCACCCGTTCAGATTGCCCATCTGTTTGAGGATGGAATGCCGTGCTAAACCTCAACTTTGTTCCCATGGATTCCTGGAACTTAGGCCAAAACCGTGATGTGAACCGTGGGTCTCTATCCGATACTATCGTAACTGGAACCCCATGCAGTCTCACAATCTCATCTGTGTACAACTTGGCCAGTCGTTCAAGCGTATAAGTAGTGTTGATAGGAAGGAAATGAGCACTCTTGGTTAACCTATCAACCACCACCCACACTGCATCATAGTTCCTAACCGTGCGTGGTAGACCTACCACGAAGTCCATAGTAACATGCTCCCACTTCCATTCTGGGATGGTAAGTGGCTGTAATAACCCCGCTGGGTGCTGGTGCTCTGCCTTAACCTGCTGACAGGTAAGGCAACGACTCACATATTCTG